TTTTGCCAGCACGGGGCATCCGGACATAACGTGATCTCTCGTATCATCAAATTGCTGACATAGTCTGCATTTGCTGTCTTTATCTGTTTTCAGTATTTTTGTTGCGTAATATTTTGTGTTTAGTGCCTGGTCTTGTGCTGCAATAATCTGCCTTTCAGTTTCCCCTTTCAGATCTCCTCTCGTTAACCACAGAAACGTGACTTCTTTGCTTATAATTTGTTACTCGTTTTGCGTTCGATCCCCGTTAGCGACCTTAAGTCCACCCTGAGCTAGATGGAGCAAACAAACTTAAAGTGTGGTGGACGGTTGTAACAGGCTTATTAAATTCCAATAATTTTTCTTATCTTGATTTAAAATTAAAACAGTCTATAGAATCTTAGGTCGTTATAAGTGTTTCGAAGGAAACTGTCGTGTTTGTATCAACTAATTTCAGTAAGAGCTTACATAATCCTTGAGTTGTAATTTACCCGCGGGCTAGCAATATCGATTTAGTAATTACTTGTTTATTTTATCAGTCAAATTGTAACGTCAACTTTATGTACTTTGCCTCTCCTCCTTCCCCTCGCCATTAATTTTCTTCATCCCTTCTCCCCCCACCCTAACCCTAATGTTCATTTCCGATTCAGCTCCATACCTCGGGGCATTTGACATTCAGGTCCTTGCGAGTTCGTGTCCATCTCAATCGGCCCAGAAATTTTGTAAAATTTTTGCCGCACTGGTAAGTAAGTCTGGCCGTTCCGCGATACTTGTAGATATTGTCACTCTACAGGTTGCCTCATCGTCTGATTGACCGACTTCAAGGTCACTGGTGTGATCGAGGGGCAGCTGATTTGAGTTACTTATCTGTAATGACAGCATTTGACGGGTTCACATCGGCCATATCTTGTTTTCTGGAATAATTTCTTTTCTTTTTCTGTCATGTATGTTACTATCAGTGAGATATTCTTCTTTTGGGTCTGGCGTTGAGATTTAATATTTTATTGAATGTCGGCCCTTTATTGATTCATGATTTTGGCTTTCCACTCCGGGAACTTTAATTTCATTACTGTGTTACGCGCTGAGCCAGTCGTGATTACATTTATATTCTTCATTTTACAAATAACAGGTCGATAATATTTTATTGTTTTAATTTCTGAGGTGACTTCTGAAAGACCACATATGGACGCATTTTTCAAGTGAAATGCGCACTTTTTCCTTTTGAACCTTATCACTCTACGGACGTCATATCAGTTACTTTTTATTATTTGTGTAATTATGCATGGCATGGTGATCATAACTATTGAACGTGGGATAAAAAACATTTTCTGCTATTTCATTAAACAATCTCTGCATTCACATTATAAATTACAACATTCAAGAGAAGCATCACACAGTGGTGACAGCTGTCGGCCGAGATTGAATTCAGTATTATCTCGACTATAAATCAAACATATTTATTACACTCTGAAGAACTGTGACAGAACGTGAGCACGGGAAATGATGGAGAGATTTTCATATGACAAGATTTGGTGTGTCGCTGGTCGAGCTTTATCCTTGTACATGTGCAGGAATAAGGCACAGAAGGTTTTACGTACTGGATCGTTGAACAAGTCGTCTAGACGCGATTCGGCGTCCTTGCCTTTCTTGCTTCGGACCAGGAGGTAGACGCTGCTGAGATGCGGGCACGACCGGAGCAGTTTCTCCACCAGAACTTTGCCCATGAACCCCGTTTCACCCGTGATCAGAACACTGGCGCCCCGGTAGAACTCCTGGATCGTGGCGCCTCGCACTCCGATACTTTCCATGTCTGACACTGCAACACATTTAAGGCAAATTTTGTTCGATTTTATTTATATCCAATGCTTCAAATTAATTAAAACATAAATTTGAGGCTTCCTGAGCGGTGAGAATGTGGTTCGAGGTTTCATGTGTTTTGACGCCTTGCAATTTGTATGTGATTACCAAATTCATGGAGGTGGGGATAGCCTCTAAGGGGAATTCAGTTATACATTGCAGATGGAAGCGACATGTTCCTCCATTGTTGACAAATTTCGAAACTACATGGAAGGTACAGATGTCAACAAATTTTGAACTTGAAACTTTCCCATGGATTAAACATTAACCCTTTGCGGTCCTAAAACTTTGCATACCGTGTAGTGTATTATAATATAAAATAAGTAAACAAACAACTATTAACACTACAAAAAAGACATTATTGTCATACGCGTTTCAACCTCAAGAGGACATCATCAAGGAAATTAATTCATTTAATCAAATGGTTTAAACTGGATTTAGAAAGAAATAAGGAGTTTCACAAAAGTATTTCAAACGATAGTGCACTAGATGTTATTCACAGAGTAGAACTATGCTCTTAGCTATTGATCCGATGGTTCGGTAGCCGTAGAAGTTCTGCGGCGATGTGTGGTTGCGTCGTCCTTACTTGTGAACACGATTCTAGACACTTGTCAGAATAAGAAGAATTTTCTCTCCTGCCTCCTTTCACTATTACAAGTGTAATACATTTGGAAGTACCTGAGGTAAAGTTGGTAATCGGCTTCCTAAGATGTTGGTAGTATTTCGTCGGATTGGCGGATAAGTTGAAATAGCTAAGTATTTCAAATGTTGAAGGTTCTCAGTTTGTGGATACTAATATGAATATTTTTATTAATCTCAAGACAAGATAAATTAAAGTTGTATAGTAGGTTACTCAAAGTCACGCTATACTTTATGACCACCTTCTGATGATGTGCCTTGGGGTCATGAAGTTTATATATGATATCAAATAAGGTGGGGTGAATGATCAATAGTCACGAGGTGTGTCATTCTCCTTATGAGAACGACCCCACTCATGAGTGATCTCATTACAGGAAATCATAAAGGAAAGTTGTTCCATCACCACAAGAGGCACATACATAAGCTGTGAGCAATAGCATTGCCAGACCTAACATTAGCAACTACAACAAACAAATGTGAAGACGCTTTCATATTATATCTGCTTAATATTGTAACGTGGGTCGGCGTTTCTACCTGGATTGTCAACCCTGATTTATTCACGTAAAATTAAATCAGTTACAGAGGTGTGCACATACTGTCATCTCTCTACAGCGACAACAAAACACTTCGTGACTCTGTTCTCTGCACACACACACACACACACACACACTCTGTCCTCCGAGTCTATGTGGTCCCTCGAGTTCGGCGCTCTTCACAATCTTCGCTTGCACATCGGCCCGTTGCACCCCACTGGACACACGCTGGCTCCCCGGCCGGCACGGTCCACGTACCCGGTGCCTGTTCACGCAGCCGACCTGTCCTTACTCAGCGCCGGCCCGTAGCACCCCACTGGACACACTCTGGCTCCTCGGCCGCCCCGGTCCACGTACCCGGTGCCTGCTCAAGGAGCCGACCTGTCCTTACTCAGCGCTACAACAGACCTAACGCTGGCTCCATTCTCTCGGCTCTCACGGCACACTTCTTTTACGCCCGATTCACAGCTCTGTTCTTTCCGCACTCCCTTTCCAAAAACTCTACTCTCAACACTCTCTCTTTCCAACCATACAACAATGTCATTAAACAGACACAACAATTATAAACGAATACACCAATTCGAAAAGTAACAATGTCTATAAATAGACACAACAATGCCAAATACGACAATGCGGAATACAACAATGTCTAAAAACGATTACAACAATGCCAAACCAAATAATGTTAATAAACAGACAACTAAACTGTTTATTGACATTGTTATGCTGCTCTCAAGGCAACACGTCACAATATCAATACGTGGAATTGGGATCTCTGTCGCACAAGGTTCACAAAGTATTTCTAGGACAACTAGGATAGAACTCGTGCAAAAGCGGCTTGAATGATAATACTGACTCAGTTTTCCAGAACCAGTTTCGCTCCAGATTATGTAAAAATGCAATAAATGCATGGCGGACTCGGTCCGATATTGGACCGCAAAGGGTTAATGGTCTGTGTCTGCTGCACTTGTTTTATTTGCGGTGAATACTACATAACTGGATTTATAACACGTGGAAATTTTTATTGTTATAGTTACAGTATTTTTTCCATGACAAAGGTTTGTGGTTAACTAGCCCGTGATGAGGCTAGAGTTTTTGTTTAATAAACAAAATGATGATATTAGCAGCAAATCATTGAAATGAACAGCTGGTTCCATTTCTTTCCACAGTTCATTTGCCTTTTGTGGGATATGTAATACGTCTTCTTTCAGTAATGTGTGTCATTGTCGTCCTCAACTCGTATGTCGCCTGTCAATATATATATAAGCTGCTCTTTAGTACAGTACAGTCAGACTTCGATAAGGTATTCCACGAGAAGTGTCAACATCAACATGTCCAGTAAGGGACCAGTGATAATAATTGGAGCTGGACTTAGTGGTAAGGTTTTACGGAAGTGTATCCTGGTAGCTTTTCTATTTGCAATATAACCCAACATTAAACATAGAATGTATTTTACCCAGACTGGGAGAATAGAATCATTAAACCGTGTTGTTGTTTTCAGTTGCAGCTCATATTGTTTAAGATCTGAGTTCCATAATGGATAAAGGCAGGCACGTGATTTTGCCATTTCTAGTCAATTAACATCAGAGTTATCCAGTACTCATCCCCAATTGAGATGAAAATCATTAGACTCACATTATTTAATAGTACTGCAATATCTTTAAAAGTTATTAAGTATATTCATGTTAATTGCTGCATGTTGTATGTGGTATGTCTGTCAGACTTGTGTTTACGAGGTGCGATCGGAAAGTTTCAAGACTGTGTCAATAGAGGGCGAACTGGATGTAGTACTAGCTTCTGTCGCTAGGGCGTGCGGCCTACATTCATAGTGAATCAGTGTGCCAGCCGGCATCATCGAATTAGCATTTGTTTCTTAGTTACGGGCTTTTTTTTAGTGCATTACACCGACCCTCGTGCGATTTCGGAATGGCGTGTGCATCAAATTTTGCCAAAGACTCGCCAAAACTGCTACGGAAACCTATGAAATGCTAAAACAAGCATTTGGGGGGTCCGCAATGGGTCGTGCACAAACTTTTGTGTGGCATTCACGTTTTAAAAATGGCCGAACCTCTGTCGATGATGACGAGCGTTCTGGACGACCTTCTTCGAGCACAACGCCCGAAAATGTTACAAATATTCGGCAGGCCATTCACGAAGATCGACGTCGTACCATCAACGACTTGTGCGACATTGTTGGGATAGGCTATGGGACCTGTCAGCTGATTCTAAAGGAAGAACTCCACATGCGACGCATCCTGTCTGAGGACCAGAAGCAGAATCGACTTCTCGTTTGTCAGGAGCTCAAAGATCTTGCAAGAACCGACCCAAACTTCCTTTCTAAGC